CAGTTTGTACTCAATAAGTCTTATTCTTTCTAGTTCCAGGATACACTCCCTTCTAGAAAATTCTTAGACAAATGGCTTTGTATTGGAAGCAGGCTAAAATAAATCTACTGCAATTTTTTGGCTGGTTTTAAGAGAATAACTCTTTTAAAATGCAATGAAAGACATAATATGAATATTTTTGCAGTGTATTTGTATCAGTAGTCATTCAATAGATTTGCTTTCGTAAAAACACCCATATTTTTTTCTCCCCATTGTTTGTGGCCTGAGCTGCTATTCATATTCAGCCCCTTTTATGGGTCACCAGTAGAAAGTTTCTAATGTAAAGCAGCAGGAAAGGTTCAGTTTGCACCAGCAGTAACTTCACACGACAATAATCAGTGAGCAGTTAAATCAAGCTGCAAGTGCAAACAGGAACACAGGAGTGAAACCTAACTCCAACCACAGAGATTCAGGTAGAAGCTACAAATGTTCTGAGGGCTGAACATGGAGAGGAAAAACAGAGCTGTCTCTGTAGACTCCAGCTAAAGGAACTCAGCTAAGGAGAGGGGACGTCACAGGTCGGCACTGCTCCAAGCAAGCTATCCCCTGCTGAGAGGCCGTAGTAGAAACACAATGGCGTCATGGCACGGCTCAAGCGGGCTGACCCTTTAAATGTCGATTTACTGTTTAAGTGGATAGAGCTACTGTAACCGTGGCTAGGTTTATTTACTACAGTATAGTCTGCTACAACCACTGCTTGTATAAGACAACAACATCTCCACTCTGCAGACTGTGGCCTGCTGTGTAGCCGTTAGCTTGACACTTTGCCACAGATACCGGAGAGTTAACCTCTCTGAGGCGCTAGCTTAGCTAACTTTACAACATAAGTACCATACACAAACAGGCAGAAATGTGCTTCTAGTGACTGTAAAAGATCCAGTGGACGCAGACATGAAGAGTCTGTTAGCAGCTGCTGGTTAGCTCCATTAGCAATGAGCCGCTAGCCCAGCTAACGTAGCTTAGCCAACTTTTCAACATAAGTACCACACAAAAACCTTTACAAACAGCCATAAATGTGCTCCAGCGGACTTTGGACAGACATGTAAAGTCTGGCAGCAGTTGCTCATGGCTGGTTAGCTTAGTTAGCACTGACTACTGGCGGTTGTACTCTGTGGTCAGTCTGTCACTCTGTTGGTTTACCTCCCGCGTCACACACTCCTGAGCCACATGGCCATGTCCCTTATTTGATTCTTTCTGCTACATTTTGTAAATTTGCTTGAGAATTTAGTTTTTTTTTATTTGCATTTATAACTAACTAGAAATTTTGTTCTACAAATGAGGCAGGCAAACTGCGGTGGTGGTTTGTAAGATTTAGGCCCCACTTCTTTTTCTTGAAGCCCCTCTCTGTCGTGTCCCCAGGTGCTGCTCTTCCATGACCAGAGCTACGGAATCCACTATGAGTACACAGTGTCTCTGAACATGACTCAGGACAGGAGCAGTGAGGAGCAGAAAGAACCAGAGTATCTCTACATCTGGACACACAGCAGCTGGCAGGACTGTACTGTCCAATGTGGAGGAGGTAACACACCATCAAACTATCACTCATGGTTGCACACACATATCATCACATCATACTGTACAATCTCTGTCGGGAAATTAGGTTGTCTCAATAGTGAAGTCATGTTAGGTGACAGCAATGAAAATGTTTTTGCAAATGTTATCTGGTTTATTTCTCTCTGCCTCAGCCAAGGTTTCCACCATGTGTGTTGATGCTTTATCCTTGTTTACTTAGAGAGATCAGACGGTGTCAGGAAACATTAGACACTGTATGTGATGTTGGGTTTTACAAATACACCTGACCTGACTTGACAGAACATGAGACAGTGCTGAGAGTCAAGAGCTCTCTATTATCCCTGAGAGGGAACTTTGGTTGGCAGCAATCGAGTAAAGCAAAGCCAAGAAATAGAAAAATGCTAACATAAATGACACTGGAGATAGAATAGATGTAAAATTAAATACTATAAAAATATAACAGTTAAATCAAAATAAGAGCAAGAAAGCCTTGTTCCTACGACAGCTCTGCACATCATCAACATCAATATCTTTTAAAGCCTCAGATGTAGGAAACAAAAGTGAATTTGAGGAGACAGAGTAAGTGCCATTGTTCTGTTTTCTCAAATAGAGATTTACCTCATCTAACGATTAGTTTTGTTAATCTCTAAAGTTACGGCCTTCGGAATCACCAGGTCTGGTTGTCGTTATAAAATAAGGATCCAAATACAACACGTATCCTAAATTGTTCCTAATAGAAGCATTGGCTTTCCTGTTAAGTCAGTTGTGTGTCTAGAGAACCTGATCAGTTTGACATTACTCAATGATGTGCGCTCTGGATCTACAGAGGATCTGCAGCAGAAGATAGATCAACTCTAATCCACCATTAAAAAAGAGATAAACTAAACTGTGGTGGGCTTAACCCCAGCTGCCTCACTACTAATCCAGAAACACAAGACCTCGTCTCCTGGTTAAAGAGACACATTTTGGCTAATCTCTATAAACATAAATCAATGGATGGCAATTGAGATTCCAAATTGCCCGATCCATCCTTTATCAATGCCGATATGTTTTTCTGACAGTTGGATTGCAAAAGATTGTGTTCAGATTGTTTTCTTTGGCTAAGAAAACCTAAAGGATAACAAATATTCTCTCATTTTATCCATTTTAGACGAGGACACACTAGGGATGGGGATTGTTAATATTTATTGATATCGATACCTTTATCGATACTCCTTATCGATCCGAGTCTTTATCGATACCACTATCGATACTTTTCTATTATTTGGTGGAAAGACTACGCGACAATATGTTTTTAACAGAACTGGTATTGCTTTTATTGCTTAACAAGTGAGCATAACAAAAACGTTTCTAGCCTTCAATAAACATGACTAATGTAATAGGCCACTTCGAAATGACATAAAACTAACAATAGAAAGAATATATCAGCAGCACCAAATGAAAAATATTAAATATTAAAATTTACTGAGCCAAGCCAACCTGAAAACATCATCACGCAGCACGTCTGAAACTTTATTTACTTTTCAAGCTAACTAGCTTGTATGCTGCCGATTACAACACGGATTTCACAATTACTATTTTTAACTGACGGGACAAGCTACAAAGTCTGTGTGCGCTGCCGCTGGTACTTTGAGTGGATGACGAAGACGGGCCCGTCTGTGGTGCGGCGGAAGAGTCTTTTCAACCCGGAGACAGTCGAAGGTACTGCATTTGGCCTTTATTTGATGCACAATGCTAATGTGCTTGGCTATTGAGGTGTGTTCCCCACTTTACAAGAAATGATTTTGCAACATAAGTTGCATTTCGCTTCCTCTTTATCTTTGAGCTTGGTAAAATGTAGCCAAACTGTAGACCTTTTCGCCCGTTCAGCCATCCTCGCGAGCGGAGTTAACTGCCAGACTTCACTTTGTTTACTTTTAATACCTGTTTGCTTACAATTTCATTCCAAAACATTGGTGGACACGCTGCAGTGATTGGATTGATTAGATTTAAATGCTGTGACGCGACTCGAGGGACACACAATTACGTTACAGGACCTACGGGAGAAAAAAAAACCGACGAGACTCGATAGTGGTATCGATAAGCCCAAACGTTATTGATTTTCGGGTTTTGAAAAAAGTGGAACCGGGTCCTTGATAGAACCGGGTTTCGATCCCCATCCCTAATAGCTACACATAATAACTCTGTGATTACAAGCAGAGCTCAGTAGTGAGATACTGTATTCAATGACTCTAGTATCATTATATGAAATTGTTATATAAAAATACAAAAATAACTTTGAAAGTTTGATCACTATCTAATATCTATATACTATAATCTGACATTCAAATGAATTGCTTTTTTCTGCTGCAACCAGTCACCTCAATACTGGCAATTATATGTGTGTGTGTGTGTGTAGTACGTGTGTATCATTGACTGATAGAAGTGGTGATGTGGTCACAGCTGGGTAAAGATTACTCGTGCTGAGTCACAGTTTACATAAAACAACAAAAAATGCGCAATAATCTCTAGGTAAATTATAACCATACAAGCACACATGTACACACACACACACACACACACTCATAAGCACTGTGGAATCATAGCGGCATTGATTGTAACAAGCTGATATGAGGATTTTAGACTGCAGTTGTTTTCTCAGAGTGTAGATAGTTATCTGACATTTTATGGTTTTGGGGTCTGCATGCCGAGACTGTAAAACACACACACACACACACACATGCACACTAAGCAGTAAAGGAATGGTGAGGTCCTATGACCACAATACATCCTGTGGATTATAAAGTGCTGTCTCACTTGAACTCAGAGCATTTTGCCCTGATCACTGGATAGAGCTGAGGTAAGACTGAAAGCTGATGGCTGCAGCTGTTCAACTAAAATATTAATCATATTTATTTCATATTACAGTTACTATACTCTACAGTAAGTAAACATTTTCTACAATATAGATTATAGCATTTGTTATTGATATAGTATGGTTTACAATTTGATGCTGGATGATTATTACTGGATTAATTTTGAATAACTACACAATTAATGTGGGATATGGATGAATAAATAAAATAGCAGACTAACATGAAACAGATGATTGTTCAGTTCACTGCCATCCTTTTACTTTTTTTAAACTTTCTGTAGCTTTCAGATGTTTGTATTATGCAGTCATATCCACATTACTTTTTACAGACTGTGACCAAGTTTGTTAATGATAATGTTGGTTATGTGAAGCTCTTTGCCCTAGAGTAAATAATCCACTGTAAATTGCAATGCAGCCCTGAGGAACAGATGTCTTTGGAGGGCTTTGAATACTGATGTGTTGACAGATTTTCTTTGTTCAGATCTACTTTGCACTGATCCACGTTTTTCATGCCAGTCTCAAACATAATTACACGTGACAAACCTCCTCTTGGACTGACATTAACTTTTAAGGATATGTCTCAAAGTAACCAGTCAACTAAAGGTTTTAAGTAAAAGTTCAAATGAAATGTATTATCTTAAACTGCCTGTACTCATGGGAACCATAAACAGTGCAGCCATAGTGCCACTGTTTGCTGTTAAGTGTGTGTGCATCTGAATGTATCAGAATCTGTCTATGTGTTGGGAGAAGTAATATGATATGCTGTTAAGGGTGAAAGCTGTTTTTTGGCACTTAGCTAAATGGAAGACGGGAGAGGCTAAAGGGTTTGTACTGTATGAAGGTTTGTGTGTCTTTTTTCTGTCTGTGTCTCGCCGTTACATTGCATGTTTGCAGGCGCTTTTCAGTGCTTCTGTATGATGTGCAAGGGGGCATGAACACGTTTGGCTCTCTGTCTCTCTCTTTGCCCTCGCCTGCTCTTCACAGCACATTAAACAGGATGGCTATAAGCCTCTCATTCAACCAAATAGACACATACCCACACACACATACAGACAGTCACCTTGTTTTTGTCTCCAAGAGTACATTGGAGTGAAGCCTAATTGCTTGAGTGATATGATGGGTGCCTTTGCAAAGACTAGACCCGGGCAGTCGGGCAGTTTTGTCAACTCCTTGTTTCTCTTTTTTAAAGTTTTGTTCTTCTTCTCCTTCTCTTTACTGTCTATATATGTTTTGTTTAGAGGCTTTTCCCATGACTTATGAAAGCTTTTGAGTCCAAGGTTAATGCAAGGAAAATATGTGTGCACGTCAGATCTGTGTTTACTATATTTGTGCGTGTGTTTGTGTGTTTGTGTGTCCTGCCAATGGGCCTCATTAAGAAGGGGAAGTTTTTGAGACCTTTGAGACCTTGCCTTTAGGAAACTTGATGTCATTATTGGGTGTTAATGATGCTGGCCTTTGTAATCACTCTCTGTGTATGTGTGTGTGCATGTGTGTTTGTGTTTATTAGATGGGGAAAAGGCGGTTTTCAGGGATGGAGGTGACCCTAATGGTCATGTTCGCAGTGATGTCTGTGGTAGCCATCACTCTCATAATTCTGTTTGTCACCGGAGAGCCTGGGGTCATTAAAGATGGTAGGTGAACGCACTTACACAGAGATGCACATATAAACTTAAACACATCTAAACCTTCAGCATGTTCCTCTAGTATTTGTGAAACTGTTAATGCTAGGTAGCTTCTGCAAAAATAAGATAAATATGCCTTTTAGTAAGTCCACTGGAGACTTTTGCAGGCTAGCTAGCCAACAATATATCCTGAAAATATATGGGTCATCTCCAGAGGAGGGACTGTGGGGACAGGAGTGCTGCCACGTGGTCCCCAGAGTTAGCTAGTGATGCCCAGAGAAGCCAGTCTATAAACCAGCTGCAAGTATCACATTTGATGTGTAAAAGTAGTGGCTTTGGAGTTCTTGAGAGAAACCTTTTAGTGAAGTAATAATCATTACTTTTTTTCCATTAGCCAAAAGAGAAGACTAATGGCTTACATTTTCAACTTGTAAAAGGCCTGCGATTCTAGAAATCTAGCTTTGCTAACTACAGCTCAGTACAAGATACCAACACTGCATATTTTTAGATATTGTAGGTAATCATTAACAGACAGCTAACATTGTAACAGACTGGGTGACACGTTAGTGTTTAACTGCTATGTAATGAGTGTCACTGTATTAAGAGATAGCTAAGATAAAGACAGTTTATTGCAAGTACTGACATTTCCAGTGTGAACTTGTTATTAAATGCTGTACAAGGATGTCAGTCATTTCAACTACCTATGACAGTGATTTGTGTGAGAGAGAGTACCTCTGATTGGCAGAGGGTTGTGTTTGTTGTTCTTCCTGTTTGTTTAGGGAGTGGGGAAAATGAGAAAAAAGCTAGTTCTTTTTGTTTTTCCATTAGCTTGGCATTGGTACTGTTCGCTAATAAATTGCTAGAAAAAAATAACATCTCACAGCCTCACAACTGAGGGACGCTACAATATGTTCAGCCATAGCTCAACAAACTAGGGCACAAGTCATCACAATCAAACTACAAAATATGTTATGTAAAATATCTCAAATTGCTAACAAAGTTAATGCTGGTTCTGGTGTCAGAACACACAGTACAATTTATCATGGTAAGATTACTACAGAGCCCCTAAGGGGACATGAGTGAAAAAACATTTAAAGAGTATGTGGCTGCAAACAAAATGGCAGATCTCTGCAGGAGAATACACAAGAGGCATCTCTGGTTTGTTTCTTGGCGGACGGACATAGTGGATTTAATTTGCAACTGCAGGATTACGTACAACTTTATGGACGTATACCAAATGTAACGTTAGGGAAATCAACAAGGTCCTTCAAGAATGAATGTTTTCCATGGAGAATATCCTCTTACATGAAGTATCCTCTTCAGCTGTCTTAAACTTATTTGAAAAGTATGCCCATAACTGAGCACTGACTTAAATTCTTTATATTTGAGGCCAAGGTCAAAATATAACTCCATGAAACTCTCAATACCAAAGCCCACGTGAAGCAATGACCCAGAAGTGCTTTGACCCTCGGGTTTTGACCGAAATTTATAGTACTTTTTTCCACTCAAAATATTCTCTGGAAAACGCAAAAGTTTTCTCGGGGAGAGCAAAAGTTAGAGGCTCCGCAGATTACTGGATTTTCACTTTGAATTTTTGTTTTAAGAAAACATTTCATCTTCTGACAGAAACTACTGAAGTATTCGTGCCTCAGTGTCCCAACATTCCTCTGGCTGAAAGAGTAGACTGTTTCCCTGATGCTGGAGCCTCAAAGGTATGACTCACTATCATTCCCAAGAATGTAATGTTTGTGGATTCTTTTCTGAAGACATTGAACAAAATTAGATTTGTGAAAGAGTTGAAGGTTCCATGATGACAAACAACTCAATTACTGGTCTTAGTAATGTTACAGTTGAAATAATGATGTTGTTGATGGCGATGATTTCTGCCACCCTGGTTGTAATGATTATCAGAACAATGATGATGATGAAGATAGCAACATTGTTTATAGTAGCAGCAATGACAATAATGACAGTGTGGGTGATGATAATGATGACAGCATCAACCTTCCTACTTGAACAGCTACGATGTGAGCAGCGTGGATGCTGCTGGAGCCCACTGGATGAGAGAAATGTTCCCTGGTGTTTCTTCCCAACCAACCATGGATACACAGTGGAATCAGTGGAGCAACCAAATCCTTATGGTAAATCCCAGTTCTCCCTCTCTCTCTACACTGCTCTCCCACTTGTGCACTCTGGACTGATGAAAATATTTGGTTTTATATTTAGTTCATTCTCTAATTCTAATTGCTTTACATCCATTCAGTCTGTCTGTCTGTCTCCCTTATATAGTTTGTTTCCTTTTTCACTTACTTTGCCTAAGGCATGGTTTTTTTGTGAAATATGACATGGATGGCATATCAGAAAACATGATTGGCTTTGCAGCATGCAGGTTTTTCTATTTTCTGCTTGATTTCACTGCCTTATGTGAACTAAGTTATTCACAAAGAAGAACCATTGGACATTTACAGTCTGAACTACAACATTTTCAATCACATTGTTCAAATAGCACAAAGATTTTTTTTGAAAAGAAGAAAAAAAAACTATTTGGCCACTTGTTTGTGTGACAAAGGCGATTAAATTGAAAAATGGCAATGCTTAGACTGAGAGGAAAAACAATAATTTCTCTTGGTCTGCCTGAGAAAGACTTGACACTATTCTTATATAAGTTTACCCGTCTTCAAATATTTTTAAATGCATTCTGCCATGGCATCGCTCAAGGCTACTATGCAAATAACTCACACTTACCTCCGAGGCAACTGAGGACTCTGTAAGCTCCTTAAGCATATTGCACCCTTTGATCATACTGGTAAATGAATAACCTGGGAATACATCTGTGTTTGAAAGGTTTCCCATCCCAGTTCACCTGATGCATTTTATGTGGCATGCTCAAACTGAGGACTCTTGCGGTTTGTGTTTATTTTTGCACTCCACTCATCATTGAAAGGAATAGATGTTTGGTATATTATAATTAGGCTAAATGTTTTATTTTTTAATGCACTTATGTTTCATTATGTGGTTGGTGCACAGTTAATCCAACAATTATTCTCTTGAGCTTGGTTATCAGTGGGATGCGTTCAGAGCATTAAATAGAGCACGCAGGTTGAATATCAATACAGAATATTGGTCAGAAGTGTATCAACACAAGTATTAAAGGAATTGTTTGACATTCTCGGAGTCTTGTCGTCACCATGACATTGCCAGACAACTAGCAGAGATTCCAGGAAGCGCCCAACCATATTTTTTACTGGATTATAACCTTTGTCTCCCAATTGTCATGTGTTTAATTTTGCAGAAATTAAGGCCCAACTGAAGAGAATGCCCTCTCCTTCTTTATTTGGGGATGATATACAAGAGCTGTCATTTCACGCAGAGATGCAGTCAAACAAACGACTCCGATTTAAGGTACACACCATCTTTCCCTCCCTTCTCTCTCTCTCTTAAACACCTTTTTTGCTTGAACGCAATTCACATCCACACACACATACACATTTTGACAGCAACAGAGGAAACAGTGAGATAAATCTAGTCCAGTCAAATTAATTTCAAAAACATTTTATCAAAGCATGTTTAACAGGAATGTTGTACAGAACAAAGACATAAAACAAAACTAAACTAAACAAAATAGCTGTATACACAACAAAGTACGAACATGACCGTGAGATATGAGGCTACGCTCACACTGCCTGTATGGTTGTTTCCTCTCCTTAGATCTATGATGCCCACAAGCACAGGTTTGAGGTCCCCCATGAGCACATCAACAGCCTCAACAGTGACCCATCCAGCCCCATCAGCAACACACTGGAAGTGACAAACAAACCCTTTGGCCTCACTGTTCGCAGGAAGGAGAACCAAAAAGTCCTGTGAGTGCCTACTATGTGTGTATATGAATGTGTGTGTGTGTGTGTGTGTGTGTGTGTATGTGTGTTCATTGTGTATTTGTTTGTGTCGGACAGGCAGGGGTTGTTTATAAGAACTACAATGTCACATTGTTTGCCTTGAGGACAGTGAAGGAATTACAATAGACAGCAAGCTATGCATCATGTGTATATTCAACAAAATAGCATTGTTTGCATTCAGACATGAACTGCATATTTGCTATGTATGCACTATACATCATATACAGTATAGGTAAGGCAAGGCAAGGCAAGGTAAGGCTAGTTTATTTGAATAGCACATGTCAACAACAAGGCAATTCAAAGTGTTTTACAATAAACATGGATGGTTTAAAGATATGTGAAATGTACAACATACAGGGCAATATAAAAGGCCATTTTAATACAATTAAAAATAGTTAATTAAAAAATGAAGATGGATAAAACAGGAGAGTAAATGTCAAAGTGCAGTGTAAGATATTATCCAAAATACATCCTCAAATTTGATTTAATAAAAGGGAAGGTGCAAAAAGAATTGTATTCAGCCTGTTGCACTGTTTTAGATATGTGGTGCATAGAAAATAAAAGCTGCCTGTTCATTTAGTTTAGTTTTCTCATAGTCTCATTATCATTTATTATTTCTAACTCCTTCCCACCTACGTTAGTTTCCTACAGCAACAAGTAATTAATGTTCATGTCACTGAGGGCACTCAGTGAACCCTGGGTGACTTCGCAGTGATCAGTTACCCCTCAGAGCCCACACAGCTCACACACTTTCTATTAAACATCAAAAGGCATTAAACCATTAATGCCGCTGATGTTATAGAATATGGCACTCAATAAGGCTTGTGAGGACACAAAAAACCCTTGTTTTTTATTATTACTAGGTTGTAAAGCACATACCATAACAATGGCCTTATACACTAATGGTGTTTTGCACATCACTGTATTCTGTTGTTTTGAATCAGAGCTGATGGCCAAGATTTTTCTCCAAGGCAAACATTTATCTTTAATCCAGATGACTCCGTTTCTTTTATGGGAAGGTGAAAATCAACAATTCTCTTTTGTCCAGCAGCAACAATGCTTTCTTTCATTTCATGTATCCTTATTCTATGAGTTCAGGGTTTGTCCTTGTGCAGAGCTAAATATTAACAAAATAATTTTAACCCTGAAATATCTTTTTTATTGTCACTATCCTGAGTTTCCATAGTGAAATTATTATTTTTTGTCATTGTGAAATGCTCCTATCACATGACAACCTTAGGCCTTGCTTACTAACATCACTTTCTAGTGTATTGTGCAACATTGTTGTCTTTCTCAACAGTGCACATGACCTTTAACCAGAAGCGGTGCGATTGTTCGGAAGATTAGTAGTTGTTTAGTAATGAAATTCCTCCTTTCTTTGGACTCATAAATGTCTTTATGAAGATGCTTGTTATGTGAATAACTATTATCACAACGTTTTGTGGTGTATGCCATGTCATGTATTAGGTCAGAGTTTGGGTTTTCAATGACCTTTTTTTGTTAAGATAATTATTTGATTAATTCCAAAGTAGATATTTTCTTTTCTGCATTATACTCATCATAACTTTTTTAGAAAAGGACAGCCGTAGGGCACCGACTAGGAACTCACTTAACTTTTGAGGTCAGTGTAACAGTTTCTGCCAGTCACAAGAATACAAAAACCCAAATTAACCACCCACACTACTAAATTAAATGTGAACATTTGACAGGTTTTGTAAAGTATTCACTAGCATTTAATTAGAATCTTTTTTTTCTTTCTTTTTTGTATCACTGGGTCTGTTCTATTCAATAAGGGCTGGAGGTTGACTCCCAGTAAGTTTCAACAGCTAAATGCATAGAATTTATCAACATTAGTAACTACATGCTATTAATTTAATAGTTTCTTTGTATAAATATGATTACAAGTAAATTTTTTTACTCATTTAGGACAAGCAGTGTGAGTGTGACGGTCGGAAAATCCTTTGATACAATAACCTGTTTATTGCTGATAACTGTATCTGTAAGGTTTGGTAACTTTTTCCCTCGTTTCCTTTTGTTCCTGCAGTCGTTATCAAGAGCAATATTCCGTTCACTGTTTAATATTTTATAATCAAATGAGCTGCAATTTTCCACTAAAAAGTAGAGAGATAACAAGGTTTATACTGGTATTGCATACCATAAAGATTACATCAGATCATCATTAAATGTTTATTAAGGTATCATTATCCTTAATATCTAAAGTTTAATTGCTACATAGAGCACATGAAGAGTAAGTAAGTGTGTGTACATGGAGTAATTATAATCATTCTGCTCTTTGACCTGTCTGGCTGGTGTGTGGGCGTTCTCTTCTTGTAACCAAAGCTATGCAATATCAGTGTATATTTACTGCATTTGCATTTACTATTTATTTTGTCTTTATATTGTAGCTTTGTTTTGGCAGCTGCATACAGCTATAGCAGGCTTAGAATTTCAACTACCAGCGTATGTCTTGTTTTGAAGGCTAGAGAAATGCTACCCAGAAGGCTTATTAGTGCTTGATGGGATGGTCTGTCTTCTCCCAGTTATTTTTTTTGTACAACTCAACTCCTCCGCACGTCCTTGTCTCGCTCCCACTCCCACTCTCTCTTCTCGCTGAATCTCACTCTCACTTTCTTCCGTACTTCTTTGTCTCTCACATTTTCTCTCTCACCTGGTCTCACTCTCTTTTTTCCATCCCTTTGCTCTTTCTCACATCAGTCTATCTTCTCACATTCCAGTGGTGACCCGTTTTTTTCTTTTCTTTTTATCGCCTGTTCTTTTTTAAAAAGGTTCGACACTACAATGGCTCCACTGGTGTTTGCAGACCAGTACCTACAGCTGTCTGCTAAGCTCCCATCCCATAATATTTATGGCCTGGGTGAGCATGTGCATACAAAGTATCGCCATGACACAAACTGGAAAACCTGGCCCATCTTCACCAGAGATGCTTTCCCTAACGGGGTGAGGAGTACAAACACACACACACACACACACACACTTGGTTGGTTTAAGATACACTTTGCATGCAACTGTATACAGTCTATATCTGCAACTATACATCTGTCATTCCCCATGTGTGGGTCTTTTTTTAGTTACTGTTACTGTTACCTTTGTCTTCTAAAAGGCTTACACTTGACAGGTGTATTTAGGTTGTGTGCATGTGTTTAACTAACTGGCATGTTCGCGTGTGCTCCCAACATGTGTATTCTCATTCCCAAAGGGCTTATAATTGAATGCCTTGCAAGCTGATTAGGGGGTGAAATCACTCCTTCAGCTTCAACATGTCTCCCACGTCCCTCCTGCACCTTACACCTCTCCTCTATATGTCCCTTAATCCCCCTGTCTCTCCCTATGTCTTCCCTCCCTGCAGGGAACCCATAACCTCTATGGACATTATCCCTTCTTCCTCTGTCTGGAAGATGAGAGTGGCAAGTCATTTGGGGTCTTTCTCATGAACAGCAATGCTATGGGTAAAGATAATGCACACACAAACACACACACACACACATGCTTAGGCACCCAAAACATAACAAAATAATTTCAAAATGGTTCAAAGGCACATGAACCTTCAGTTATGACTGAAGACGACACAAAAAAGTGTGCTGACAAATCAAAGAGAATAATGTATGGCTGTTTTATTCTATGAAGGAGATGACTAAAGGCAATGGGAGTGGCCACTGACATGTCTGTAGTCTCCTCATATAAAAGCTTATTTTGCCACTCATGGATTGTCATGAATAATACATAGATGATGTGTCTTTCTTTATTATATTTAAAACTCATAATGGAGGCCACTTTAGGGTTATGGTAATTGAGAATGGTATTAGGATGAAGTTTGCATCATTTTTTTCAGAGGTGACTTTGCAGCCTGCTCCTGCTGTGACCTACAGAACAATTGGAGGAGTCCTTGACTTCTTTGTTCTCTTTGGAGACACTCCAGAACAAGTGGTGCAGGAGTTCCTGGTGGTGAGGCACAAAAACTGTATAAAACAACATACTGTAGTTCTACAGCGAAGGTTTTCTGTGCACATCTATTGTGGAAACAGTGGTTTGTGAGTAGCCTTGGCAGAGTAATTGCATTAACAATATGTCCAATTGTGTTGTCCAGCTCATTGGCAGGCCTGTCATTCCTCCCTACTGGTCACTGGGTTTCCAGCTTTCTCGGTGGGACTATGGCAGCCTGAGTGAGGTCAAGAATACAGTGGAGAGGAACCGTGCTGTAGCCCTCCCATATGTAAGATCCTGTCTTGTCAATTTTCTTTCTTTTTTTAGGCAAGCATCAAGTCTGACATCTAACATTGTTATCAAGGCCACTGCAGTCTGTGAATTTCTTTTGATATTCTTCAAGAAATGTGAAATAACTCAATTTGTTGCAACAAATTTGACAAATATTATATCACCATCCGTGATACATGATGGATTTCAAGTGACTACAGTCTGGGAAATAAAAAACATGCAACATGGTTTTCTCGCCTTTTGAATTTCAGTCAGTAGTTTTTTTTTAAGTAAAAAATGCAAACTGGGTATAAAACAGAAGCAGGTCTTTGAATTTGAACTCAGATGTTAAAACAGAGAGACATTTTAAGGAGGTTGCAGGATTCTCCTTTTCTTAATATATATACATTTTAAAGACCAACTCTACACAATACAACAATTTTGTGACGTTGCATAATATGTGCTTCTATAGCTTTTGTGGGGGAATTGAAGTGAAGGAAATCAATACTTTACCTTGCACACCCCTTGTTAAATTTGAACCACTCATGCACTACTGTGTGGTTCCAGAGGCAATAGCCTTAACCACTACACTATCTGTGAAGACGTGATATGAAGGTTGAAGCAGGAGTTGGACGGACAGTCAGAGTGATAGCGATGGCCTTTAGCTTAGACGAGGTAATCCAGCTTTCTGTCAAATAATGGAGAGTCTGCTGGGCTCCATAGGTTCAATCCCGGGACAACTATTTTTCAAGCATCACTGAATGTTAGCGCTGATCAAAGATCAATCGACCGAGTTCCTTTCATTATCTCATTCATCCTGATCTGAATGTTAAAACTACTCCAACACCTCTTCCCTTCTGAGACACTTGATAAATACCAGTTCTGGTTGACATTTTCTTGAGAATGAGCCTCACTGCTTATTTGTCTGGGCCTGGGACTAGTACCCATAAGAAGTCCCTTACACACAGAGCAGATGTTTAACATTCTTTCTATTCATTAATTACTAAGGTAAACTGCTAATCCCAGGCTTTACATGTCCCCTCATAACTGTACCACAACTTCGCAATGGTTGCACAAATCAAGGACATGGTTTGAACTTGTCTTATTTAAAAGATCAAATGCAAACAAATTTCTAACCCATCTCAATATTTCACTCTGATAATCTCCAATCTCTCTTTCATATCCAAAGACATTAGGATGCAGCTGCTTCCTCTCCTGCTACACTCAGGGACATATTTGATAACCATTAGATAGACCACAGAGGGCATTATCACATTCTCCCTAATATGTCTGGAGCTGATTACCATTAGAGGAAGGATCTGGCAGAGCCTTCCAAACCATCTGCTCCATCGATATGAAGTAGATTTTGGCAGACAACAGACAGACAGAGAGCAAGCATAAAGTCACACCCAGGCAAAAAAAGAAGAATGTGTTAATATTCCCATTGTCCTCCCAAGGTTTAGCAGCACATTAGCCAAGTTGTTTGCACTCACATCAGGTCTCCGAAAGTCCAGCAAAGGCAAGTCAACAGACAGGCGTTTTTTTTCAGTGAGGCTCACAGTGCAAATGCAACACAGTGTGTTTATTAGGCATGCTGAGATGGAAATACAGTGTGTAAGGAGGATGCATTCATATCATACTGAAGATGCTGAGTGGATGTGTCCAATTTATGCATGCAACAGTGGAAGCATGAGTAGTTACAATTAAGTATTAAGTATTAAGAGTAATTTTTAATTGATTACATTAATGCAAGATGCAAATATGATTTTAATATATGGAAGCCATGCCAGCATTTTAACATTTCCAATTAAGCTTTGAATATCTAATGATATCTAATCTAGTTGAAGTAAACTCAGTTATTCATAAAAGATGCTGTATTCCAAAAAGATTATCTCAAAGCGAAACTAGGTCATTTTGTTTTTTTATTTTGTTTTTGTAAAAGAAATTTGAAATGACTAAGTTTAGAATCCTTTTTTTCCCCTGAACTGCATATTAATAGGTATCGTATTTACATGAGGTGCCCATATACCACACATTATTTTCTTCTTCTTCTCATGCAGGACATTCAGTACACCGACATTGACTACATGGAGGATAAGAAAGACTTCACTTATGACAAAGTCAAGTTCAGTGAGCTGCCGCAGTTTGCCGATTACCTTCATGAGAAGGGACAGAGATACATCCTCATCCTGGTAAGAAGTACTTAATTGTGAATGAAGCTATTTGTGTAATTAAAAACATTAAACATTACTGTCTAAATAGAAAATAACAATTTCTGGGTCGTATTTCCTAGTGTTTTATTCTTGACTCAGTAACACCAACCAACCAGTGAACAATTCTAATACAGCAATTTAGTTTTTTTCATATTCAGATGAGTGTATTTCTTTTGTCTGCAGGATCCTGCAATAGCTACCAGTAAGAGGGTAGGGGATACTGCATATGGCTCCTATGACCGCGGGACTGAGAAGAACGCCTGGGTCACTGACTCAGATGGGAAAACTCCTCTGTTAGGAGAGGTGAGCTGCATTTGGGTAGAAGAAATAACTGGAGCAGACATATAGCTGAATACACATAGTGACTGCTTAATTAGAAACATATCTTCATTTAGGACAATATTTCCCTTCTTCAAATGGTAATGCTCAAGCAAGATTCCATCTTATATATGTCCCATGTCTGCATCTTATATAAATGTTTTCACAGTGATATTCAAATCATCCGGTTGTTAAGATGTCAACCTTAACATTGTGAAACACATGTCAAACACAGGTGTTAAGTGAAACAGTGGCAATCATTATATATTATATATTGCTGTACAGTAAATGTACAAGCTATTCATATGTTTGAGAGGTTCACTTGCTGTTCCACTTAGTGTTACAAGTGGCAGCAGACAGGCTTTAAAGGACCAGCGTGTAGGATTTACTGCCACCTAGCGGCGTAGTTGCAGATCAGTTAACCCTTACCTCCCCCTTGTAAGTGTGTAGGTGGCCACGAAAAATACGAAAGGCCCTAATATTATATTCCATTTGTGCCAATACATCCTTCTAAATGTTACTTGATCTTTAACCAACCTTGGCATTTCATGATTATTGCCAGGTGCACCAGGTCTGGCATCTCAGTAACTGACAAACTGTTGGGAATTGTATATTTTAAAGTATATTGATTTCACACAGAATAATGTGCTTAACAAATCATATTCACTCAGCTACAGTCCCCAAGCAGTAGTCTTGAACCAGCTCATGCCGAGACTGGAAGTTAGGCCCAGGTACAGTATGTAAAATAAAAAATGAATTAAGTAACATAATGTTGGCGAGATACCTGTTGAATATATGTAGGATCCTGGTGATTCCATGACCCACAGAAATCCAGCGGTGCAGAAGGTCTGCTGCATGTTTTACCACTGAGACTTTGGGCATTTGCATTATACAATATATCATGTAACATAAGCATAAATATGCATCTGCTGTGTGTATGCAAGTGTGTGACTCTGGTTCTGGTTTCCCTGAATCTCCATCAAGCCATAATATTCCCTAATGGAAGTTAAAGCCTCCAGTGTGTTATTTTTGATCCTTTTCCCCACAGAGCACGTGTTTAAAAAGCTCTCCCCTGCAGAGAGGGCTGGAGGTGGGGGGTAAAAGTCTGTTGCTCCCATGCTTTTATAGTGTTGCTTTTGATTATGCACACGATTAGGCCCAGTCCCTCGGCTAATCGCTTTTTCATGCTGTTTATAACAGGTCAAACATATGCATTGATTCCACATTAGTGTTTAATCTTAAAATGTTCTGCATCACCGCATCACAGATTAGGTGTGTGTGTGTGTGTGTCTGTGTGTGGAATAAGCAGAGAGAGAGAGAGAGGGAGAGAGAGAGAGAGAGAAAGAGAGAGAGTAAAAACAAGTCTGTTTGTGCATCCGTGTACATCCATTTCTTTAAATGAGAAGCTATTCTTGTTGTTTCTGCTTTATGTATGTGCATACGTGTGTGTGATTATAATGGATTACAGTTTATTGTTTAATGTATGTGTCCTGGTTATGAAAACAGTGGGGTCTGTGCAAAATGACCTCTGCAGTAGCTGTTTCAGTCATAGATACAGCAACAGACTGATATTTATTTTGCTTTTAAGACAGCTAATTGCTTGCAAAGATAAGGATAAAAGCTTTTCCTGGTGGCTCATATGTTTCAGTGGGCAAGTAAAATCACTGCACGACCTCAGTCACATAGATGAACATTTCTGTTACCAGCACAGAGGCAAAAAAAAACAAAAAACGGATAGGAGTAAACAAAGCAGCAGGGAGAGAAGGGAGTCTATGTGAGTTTAAAGGTATGACAGACAGAATCATGGGTAGACAAGAAGGCAGGTGCAAGAAGACAGACAGTCACAAATAATAGATTAGATTGTAATGTACAGGGAGACAGCCTGGCTGTCTTTCTGAGCAGTAGAGTGACAGGGAGGTACACAAGAAGTCAGCAATAGTGAGAGACAAGAGACAAAAAGACAGATTATCAGGTAAAGACAAAAAGGGGACAGACAAGATGGAACGTATAGAGACACTTTGGAACAGAGGCAGGCAGAGCGACAGATAGAGACGGGTAGAAGACAAGAAAAGACAGACAGGTAATGACATAGATAGGCAGGCTGACAGACAGGAGAGCATAAAAACAGACAAACAGACATAAAGATAGAGGGAGATAAGCAGCTACACATAAAGCAGCATTTGTTGAATGTGTTTACTGTGTCAGTATTAGTATTAGTAAGCAGCCGGAGACGTCGGAAAGACAAAATCTAGAGTTAAAGGAAGGAAGAAATCACTGTAAAACGAAAGATGGCAACTGCGCGGGACTATCAATAAGCTCTGACCTTGGAGTTCTGACCACCTGCCAAAAACATCTGCCATAAATCTATATGAGTGTGTGGGTGTGTGTGTGTGGGTGTATGTATGTGTGTGCGTGTGGGCACGTGAGCATGATTCATGTCTCTGCTACAGACTAGGTTGTAAAGTTATTGGCAGTGGAAGTAAAAGGTAAAAGATAGCTAGCGTGGAGCAACCTTGAGATTTAATATCTACCGTGCTCTACAGAAGGGTTCACACACAGAAATGCACACACACTCACACACGCAAACGAAATCTCCTCCTTTCTACGTGGATTAATCATTTTTCTCAATACATGTCATTAAGGACGACTTCTAACACACAGTCACGTCTAGAGATTTCTATTGCATTATCGATTTCTCCTCTCCTCTGTTCTCTTCCTCAACTTGTCTGTCTCTCCATCTCCTCTCTCTTTCACCATCTCTCTCTCTCTCATCAATCCCGCCCCCTCCCTAACTTCATCTCTCTTCTGTTGTCTTTTCTTTGTCATTTCCACATCTCTAAGCTGTTTCTCTGACATTTCCATATAGGCCTAGTTTCTTTGGCTATTGTGGAGCTTAACTGCGCCTACGCCATCTAAGCTGATCGCGCCCCATCATGTTGTTTACATGCACAGAATAGGCACAGTGTATGCTAGATTATTGCCTAGTTAAAGTGTCACAGATGTTTTTAAAAAAATGATTAAAAAAAATAGAATTAAGAATTAATGAAGTCCTGTCAAACATTATTTGTGAAGTAAATACTGTCACCAGGAAGGCTCACATTGTGTTGCAAAACTAATATAGTTATATACTATATAACTCATAGTTTCATCCCAAAAAAAAACAAAAAACTGGTGCTTGTAAACACCATCTCTCATTCTCTCTCTCTCTCAGGTGTGGCCAGGAGAAACTGTATTTCCAGACTACACCAGCCAAAACTGCATCGAATGGTGGGTTGATGAGTATGAGCGCTTCTCCAGGGAGATCAAACACGATGCCCTCTGGATTGTAAGTCAATTTTAAACATGTAAAATAAAGGTGTGTATACGCTGATTAGCTGTTTACTAACCTAAAATTCTGAAACTATTATTCTGCAAGCAATTACACATGCACAGGGGCAGCAAGCTTAAATTTTTGTAATTTTCGGTGGCAATTACTTCACTGCCGGTTGAACACCGAGGCCAATAAAGAGCACTAAACACTGGCTGACACAAAAACAGCCTGAAATTCATATTATACTGTTAATGATTCCTCAGCCGAAAATTTGGATTTGGCTCACTCATTACTTGGTTGTATGCTGCAGTACACACAATTTCCCATTTTACTTCAAACACCTTAACTCAACCTAGGTCACTTAACTAATGTTTATCAGAGAGAAAAAAAAGATGAATGTGAATAAATCTTTAGTTAATCACTTGTGCGGAGAGATCCTGAACTGACAACACTGTTAGCATGCCATACATACTTGTAATATTTAGTTTAAACATATATGATTGCCTTTTTTTAAACAATGTTGTTTGGTGCACTTGCAGGACATGAATGAGGTGGCTAATTTCAAGAAAGGCTCAAATAAGGGCTGTGCTGATAACAAACTCAACTATCCTCCCTACACTCCAAGTAAGACACCTTTTTGTTTTCTATGTTCTGAGTCATAATCATACTAGATACTTTTTGTTTTTATGAAGTTATGATATCTACACTATCTATCCTCCTTTGGAGACATGGATGTGCCTAAAACTTTGTTGTTGTAGCATAGTTAGTTTGCCCTTGCTTACAAAACAGTTAGCCTATGAGGACAAAGCACTAAAGTTACCATACTACAAAGAAATAGAGGATGTCATAGGCCTGCAGCTTGTAGCCCAAATGCTGTGCACTAGTTGATAAATTTGCCACAATAGCTCATAAAGTAAGTTCAGGTCCAGAGGAAAACTCATCTAGAATAGTGGGTCCCTGGCGAGGAATTTTGAAAATGACTCTTCTGCCATGTCTTTTATTCCAACTGTGTTCCAGACAGGATGATCATAACTGGAAAAGGCATGCTCCCCTGATGCCACCTTTTTATTGCACTCCTCCTTAGTCATCCTCTTCCTTCATTGCTCTTTCTGTCTCTTATTTCCTCATTGTTCCCACTTCCTATTGCAATATATATCAATGTCTCTTGTTCTTTCTGTCCCCTTCTTCCTCTTTTTTTTCTCACCTTCCCTCACTACATCCTGCATTTTGTATTCATGTCATACTTTCTGTCTCTTCACCTCTTTCATCTCCTCTACCCCCAGAGATTCTGGACGAGGTGATGTACAGTAAGACTCTGTGTATGGATGCCAAGCAGGCCTGGGGGAACCACTATGATGTCCACAGTCTTTATGGCTACTCTATGGTGCTGGCGACTGAAAAGTGAGTGCATACACGATCAATGACAGAAGGAGTTTGGCCAGCTTGTGCTATGGAGGCCAACTTGCTGCCACCTCTTCAGAGCAATGGGACATTTGCAGACCCAAAATGCACTGTGTGAAGTCAAAACAGTGTAATACACAAAATCTTTAAAATCAAGTGTTGCGGAATGAGAAATGGCCCTGTGCAACCGAGAAATCTGTCACTTGAGTACAGTGACTTATGCCCTCCGCTAAATCACAGCTTGTGACTCTTGCAGACCATTTGCAAGTTTGATCCCATGTGATAAGTGCAGAAATATGTTTTAATGAGCCCGGCTCCGAGGGTGAGTAAATGAATTTCTCATCTGGGTCTGGTGCTGAAACAGTTCAAGGGTCCATTACTTACACAAACCTACAGAGAGTCATCAATGTGAGTATAGGATATAATCATTGAGATATAGAATTTGATGAAGGTTTAAGTTTATTTAACCTGTATTATTCTTTATGTATTGATATTTAGGCAGATACTCTCACTAGTTGAGTGCACACGTGCTAGCCTAGAGTACAAACTGTTATACCTATAAACAATAATGCCACATATAACCTATATTCAAGTTATGCTAATGGATGTAAAGCCCATTAAGTTCTGTAAAATATGCTTCATAAAGTTTGCTTTGCCTCTGCAACTGTGCTTGGGTACCACACAAATGATACAATTGATAAAATGTGAGGTGGCTCTGAAATGTATGTCGCTAATCTCTGTTTCCATCATAAGATCACAAACAAGCAAAGAGCAATTTGAAAAGAGAGTAACAAAAAATGCTCACCAGAGCACATCAGATTTATCCATCCTATCAAAATAATATAGACAGGAGAGTCAGATTAGCACATCTGTGAAAGCCTGGCGCACAAGGAAGTGCTGCACAAAAACACAAACCACTCAAATGTCACAGAGGTATGAGAGCACCAGTCACATTTATCTTACAGGAATTCCTAAAGTCTCAAAGCCCTCAGCTAGTCATTTCACACAAGGCTAAAGTTGGCGTCAGTTGCAGAATTTTAATATGCACTAATGGTGATGGTATGGGAAATTGCATCAATTAGAAAGCAGCACACACCTGCACTAATGGGTTTCCGGCTGATGGAAAACAACACCCCATAAAACTAGACGAATGCAATGCACACCTCTACATGCAGATATATATGATATGTTGAGGTTAAAAGTAGTTAAGATGGTAGCTGAATTGTCAAAATATTGATAACATTCAACTTTCAGTAATAAGTTCTATAACTCACGTCAGCATTACAAGGGTTCCTTCACCTCTTCTCACATATTGGGAAATTCTGCAGCAATTTTATGCTGATTCATCACTGCCATAAGCTTTCAAATGTACCTCAGATACCAATAAAAATTGATGCATTTGAATAAAATGCTACTGTAACCTTTCAGGTGTTACTTTCTTCCTGAATGTAGCCTCAGCAGTCTAAATCATCAGACCCTAAATTTTTTAGGGCCATCTGTTTCTCCTGTTGTAGCAATTAAATTACCATTTACCAAGGTATGATGAATATCTGTAATTGAAGCCAAACTGTTCAACCGTAGACAGAATTGTACAGTATTACTAAGCAAACACACACGGTGCACACATATCCACGACCAGTGTTGGGCTAGTTACTCCAAAAATGTATTTATTACTCATTACTATTTTAAAAAGTAATATAATTACTTATTAGTCTCTGCCAACTGAAATGTATTAGTAATTAGTTACACTACTAGTAACTGGGGAAAGTAATATCATAACAGTTTGCACAATGGAAAAACATACTTACCTATGCACCTGAGACCATGAAATACAGGCCATCTGAAGTCAACTTGCTGACTCACTCCTTTGTTATTAAAGCTAGCTCATTTCTTTTGTCTCCTTTCTCACTCTCTCCTTCATTTTCTCCCCCTGTCCACTAATTAAAATGTATTATTGGCAGGAGACACATTTTGTAAACATCATCAGGGTTTTGTATTGTCATGGAAATCAATGCTGCTTCGATTTCCCTTATCAAACAAAATAATAATGTACAATGGGGGAGGAAAAGTACTACCAGTTCTGGCTTTGTCCCCATGTCTATATCTTGCGCTTCTCTGTGAGCATGTATGTGTTTGTGCATGTGTTTTTGATATCTGTCCTATCTCCCTTGTGTTTTCTCTATGTCCCAATCTGTCCTTTTTATCTTAATGACCTCTCTATCTCTCTCTCTCTAACTCCCTGCTTCTCTCCTCATTGCGTCCTCTCCATCCCACAGAGCTCTGCAGCGAGTGTTTGGAGGAAACCGTACCCTGATGTTGACCCGCTCCTCCTTCCCAGGTGTGGGGAAATATTCGGGTCACTGGCTGGGGGACAATGCAGCCAACTGGAACGATATAAAATGGGCCATCCCTGGCATGCTAGAGTTTGGGCTCTTTGGGGTTCCCTATGTGAGTAGCAAACCTTCACAGAAGGGCAAATATTGTTCTCACTGTGCCTAATGTAAGTGAGTTTGACAGAATACGTATTCTACCTGGTATGTACGACAGGCCTTAACATGAGTGCAAGGAGTAATCTTTTCAGTTTTTCACTGGAGCCTTAGATTCAAACATCAAATTCAGTGTTAATCTTTTAAATTTGATCTAATTTCAAGCCTCACTTTTGTGTTGTAGCACTGTCAACTTTGTCATTGCATACTTGCAGAAGGAATTATTGTGTTTTGTTAGATTACAATTGTGCATACATTTAGGAAAAAGAAAAAGACAGGCACCCAAGACCTTTATGCAGTTTGGTAAATTTTTTTGCAAATATCCATTTACACAGGCACATTTTACCTGAGTCTCAGATTTCCCTCAGATAGGATTAATGAAAGAGAAATAAATTAAATTAGGTATGTGAAAGGCTTGTATCATACAAAAAAAGACCTTGTAAGAAATCTTAGAAAGTTAGCTAGAACCAGTCATTGCTCTTATCATGTGGTTCAGTTTTGTTAACATGTAGTTCTGGCATTAAGAAATTCCTCTTTTGCCTTTCTTAAAAGAGGATTCAGCTGCTAATTGAGATCTATGTTCAGGCGTGGGTATAAAGACAGAGGGGCAGGCAAGAAAAAGTGTGTCTGGAATGAGATCCATTAAAACGTCTGGAAGAACACTGGTTCTCTTTGTAAGAACACTAGTCAGCACCCCAAGTGCACGCTGTACTGTGTGTATCTGCAGTGCAAACAGCAGTAAGAAAATAACAGTCAATTGCACATGCAAACACACACACACACACACACTCCTCCAGCTGTGCATGTCAGGTGGTCTTATAGATGCCAACTACATCCTGGTGGGACTGTGTCAAGCTGATTTTAGGTTCTTCTGCACACACACACACACACACACACACACACACAAACTTACACATATGCTGAGACAAACAAACAGAGAGAGACAGAGAGGGAGACAGCAGGAAAAATGGGATTTGGATCGACCCCCCCATTGAGTTTGTTGTAAAATGTGGCCAGTTGTAAACAATAGAAAGCAAGCAGTCTCTGTGGACTGGCCTTTGACTGAAGTTGCTTTCTTGGACTCCATTTTGCAATTAATGTAAATAAAGATCACTTCCCACATCTACTGTCTGCCAGTAAATCTTGACTGAATTGAACGGACATCAAAAAAGACATTTTAAAAGACAAATATGTGGCCAGCTATCACATCACTGCCACTTTTTTTTTACAACTACAGAAGATTTGTTGACCTTAGGTTCAGAGCTACTTCTATTTCACATTTCAACTTACAATTTTCAACTGGAATCCATAGCATCCCCTTTTCTCTGACTTTGTCAAACAACACGCCAACTGTAGGATTCCAATGCAAAGAATTTAACATTTACAGTAATATGAATATACTGTTCCGTCTAAATGTCAAGCTGTCATCCCCTCATGCGTTTCAGATCGGAGCCGACATCTGTGGATTCTTTGACGACTCCAGTGAAGAGTTATGTCGTCGCTGGATGCAGGTGGGAGCTTTCTATCCCTTCAGCCGGAACCACAACGCTCAGGGCTACAAGGTACTGTAAAGGCACTTTGTTCTACAACTCTTATATTAGACTGTCAGTTTTAGATTTATGTATCACACAGCCATTGTTTGGTCTAAAGAGCTGCAGGGTATACTTTTCATTTCATAACATTGTATAGGAGCTATGAACTCCAAGTGGTTAAAAATAGAAACTTCTTTCAGTATCCATGGAGATTGTCATCATACTGTTTTAGAAAATAGGAGCAGTGGGACCTCTGATTTTGGGTTTAAAACTGGGAATGTTAGCTGCTGAAAACCATTATAGCGGCATTGGGTATTGGAAAATCTGAGCCTGAAGTAAAAGGTAGCTCAGAAGCTCAAGCACTTTAGTAAAAGATAATGTTAATGCTAAATTATACACAGCCGACATATTGTAATTTAAGCTTCAGTGGCCCCCATAGGCATCCAACCCTTAACTGACCTTTGCATGGGTAGTTTTATCTCTCTTGACTCATACACAGCTTCAACTCCAGCTGTGATATATGCGTGCATGTATTTCCTAGTGTTTGGATTTGCCTGAGATGTTGGGTGACAAATTGTGTGATGATGAAAAAAAAAGTGCCCCCAAAGTGCAATTCACAAAGCCCTTCTGCTAAACCTGTCATGCTTTCCATACTCACACAGTACCATTCATATTCATTTTCAAAACAATGGGTCCTTGATTTCAGACAGAGGCAAACAAAAGCAGCTTTCTCATTTCTAGATGGCGACTGTTGATTGTGTCGGCTGAAAAGATGAACTGTCGTGAAGGGGATCAGCTGTAGCTAGCTAGCGAATTAAGCTGCAGTGATGTAAGCTCATGACTTGGTTAAATTGTGTCTCTTACATGATATCATGCTAAATGACTGAGGCTAAAACTAACAGGTGCGATGTCTTAAATGTCATCACCCCCAGCTGATGATCAACGTAGAATAGGTGGACATAAAGAAGAAACAGCATTGTTCTTTTTTTTTTGGTTTTAGAAAGGGGTAAAACAAACAAAAAACAAACAAAACATCACAACTCATTATGTATGTAGTATGGCTCCCTATAGCACCATGCACATCGCTTTATAAAGCAGATCAATATAAAGTTTAACAGGCCTGCCTTGCCTTGTTACGGTTGCTAAGCTTTTTTAGTTAAGGCTAGGTATTTAAAAACCTTTTGTAGGCCAGAATAGACCAGATTCACAATAACAACAAAACTGGTCTAATAATAATTAGGGCTATAATTAAGATATGGTGAAATTTATGTGTATCTTCAACAAGCACTCTATAAATGTCAATGTCACATAACTCAGGAAGCCCCCACTGAGCCTACTAAAGTGTTTATATTGACATTGCATACTGAGCTATTATTGCAGATGAACACAAATACCGAGAGAAAAGTCAGTCTTTAGTGTTGAATAGCCTGAAAATTGATGCTCTCCCAACATTCTCCATGTGACATTTTCATGCTCATCACTGCTGTAAAAATAGCACAGCATTGAGGTAGGGAACAGGGCCGGTTGACTAAGAAATCATGTGTGTTGCATGGAGGAAGTTGAGACGGTGGGGGGGGGTTATTTGCTGGAGGAAAGGGACATGATGATGATAAATTTGCAGTACGATTTCCACTAAATGAGACAGCTAATGTGTGACCTTTGCTATGCCCTAATCATGGCTCTCATCACACGGCCATGCAGGCCAATCCAAACACACGCATACACACACACACCTACACACACAGACACACACACAGACACAAACACAGACACAGTTCTCATCACACTCTCAGAGGGGCCGAGGGCATAAATGATTAGCCAGATGAGAGGAGCACGGCCTGTTAGCAGCTAATCACCCTCTCACTCTCCACTATCATAGAAATTAAATCATACTTCTCTGTTTCTCTCTCACACACTTTTTCCCTTTTTATGTCTTTCTCTCAAGTTCTCTTTTGCTCATTTTCTTTGCAAACTCTGCCTTTAGATTAGTCCTATGTAATGTTCAGTTCCATTTGTAATCATTATAAATATGTTTAATATCCACTTTTTCATCATGAATAAATTTGTGATGTTAAAAAAAAATACTTCCATGTTTTTCTACCTCCCTTGTTTTTCCCTTCCCATGCCTCCTCCCTCACACATTCCTTTCCTCTCACTCCATTTCCCTCATTCAAACAAATTTTCTCTTTCTTCCCCCTATCTCTTTCTCTTTTTTTCCCCTATGGATAAAAGAACAATCTTTAGTTTTTATCTTCTCTCTCATTCATCAACCCCATCTGTTTAATCCATCTTTCTGTCTCCAGCCCCAGGATCCAGCTGTGTTTGGCCCTGACTCAACACTGGTGGCGAGCTCTAAACATTACCTGAGGATACGTTACACACTTCTGCCTTACCTCTACACACTCTTCTACAAAGCACACACCACAGGGGAAACTGTTGTGCGCCCTGTCATGCACGAGTAAGTCATTCAAAATATTGTAAGTATGCTGTCAGGTCCTCAGTTCAGTCAGCAACACTCGCAAAGCATTTGACTAAAACCCCAAAACAACATGGCCACTTTGAGCCACCATCCTGAATCTATGTGACAAGCAAGCCAGGCCTCCTCTCTACTTTAATCAGGGGAAACACAGCTTCTGTCCTGGCATCTGAAGTGACCAGCTGACCACAGCTAGCAGAAGACGAGTAGCAAACTGCTATTATTTACTCCTTTAAAAAGTTGTTCAAAACAATAATCATGACGGGTTGTCCTGTATACCTGCATGAATATGATTGGATGTTTCTCGTCACACAGCTGTGAATTAGCCAATCATTTTAAACCATGTTGCAATAGCTGAAGCCAATTAGCCAATACAAGTACAGCTTCCATGCCCCTTCTGAACTTTAACTACTTATGTAGCAGTTTTTGCACTTTGGAATACATGATTATATTACTGTAGATTAATGAAAAACATTGTTTTCCTTATTGCATATACCAAGTTGGCTGGTGAAGCAATACATGCATGTGGAATATCATTATTTTATTTATGTATTAAAAGTTTTGCAGTGTTTTCCTTTAAGCTATCTGAACTCATTGGAAGCACTAGAGACAAATAAGTTCATTTTTTTTAAAATTGTCTCATTATGGAAACTATGTGAAATATGGCGGTGATTTTATGAGCTGGGTCAACATTCCTGCATCTTAATTATAGGCTTAGAGCTTTAGTGGAAAAGTGTGGCCCACAATGTTCCTTTCAACTTTGTTAAATTTGAAAAAAAGAATGAATAAGGAATAATGAGGGTGGAAAAAGTGTTAATAGAACATTTAGCATACTAACATATGTATATTTCCCCAAAGTTAATGGAACTATGCAGCAAAGGATATGGTAATTTTTACGCAATGAATGTAGTCTAAAATATGTTGTTGTTAGTCAGAATATTGTAAAAAATATGTCTAATTGATTACATACCTTTCTTTGTCACTTCCCAGGTTCTACTCTGACAGTGCCACCTGGACAGTGGACCGCCAGTTCCTCTGGGGGAAACACCTGCTTATCACACCTGTATTGGACCCGGTCAGTCAATAACACAAAAAACATTGCAGAATACACATGCATACATAGGTGAACATGTGTTTGTCTTTCAAATACACATGCTCACTCAAAATGTACTTAATAGTAATAATATAATCATCTCTAGACCCACAAACTATCATATACAGTATATATAGAAACATACATAGAGAGATGTGTCTTGCAGATGATGCAAATGAGATGATCAGCTACTGACACACACACTCACACACTCACAGACACACACACACACCCTGACCTCCACTGGGAAAACATGACATGGGATTTTCTTTGTTGCCCTCCCCTTCTCTCATCCCTCTTTTTTCTCTCTTTCATATCCTCCCTCTTTTCTCTCAGCTCTAATGAGAGCACTGACCTCATTACTAGCAGATTAGAAGTGTAGATAGTGTGTATCTGTGTGTTTGTGCATGTTTGTCATAGTGTGTGTGTGTGTGTGTGTGTATGCGTGCGCCGGTGTGAACATGCAAACGTGTGTGCCTGTATGTGCGCGCATACACAGCGATTGCGGTCATGTCAAAGTGGCCTGATTAATAAGCAATTTAGCATGGCCTCTTGTGAATTACAGAATAGTGGAAAGCGAATTGGATTCATAGTGGGGCCGGGGATAAAGTAACTTCAATAAGTGTGAAAAGTTTCTAATAAAAGAAGGAGGGGAGGGTTTAAGCTTGCAGTGCTGCAGGGTTCAAGCTGTCCTAGGGGTAGGGAAATGGAAGACCCATAAGGTGACTATGCAGGTTGTTTTTTTTTTGTGAATCAAAAAGGCAAACGAGGCAAACACAAACAGCAGTCAAAAGTGCACCTACTTTGGGTCTTTTTAAGGTTAGAGGCACAGTTCAACTGTAGTGCAATTGGAAACAGGATAGGATGAAAATAAATCCATTATCAGTGGGTGTGTTAGGGGCTGGCATCAATTATGACCAACCTTTAAAAGTGTGTGTGCTCTGCATCAAAGTGCCCTGATAACTGAATAGAACTAAACTAAAACTAAATGTTGAAGAACAATTATGACCTTGCTTGTGGTGGTGCAGACATGTCATGAGTGAATTAACAGTACAGTGAACTCCACTTCAACACTCATTGATAGACTATGTGGGTGACACTGTAAGCAAAGCATCTAATAGCCAGTCCCTGACAAGTGCAGAGGATGCATTCAGCCCTACAATTTTCACTTAATGCATCACAGCACATTTTGACAGGTCTATGTTTGAAACCAATCATTCACACCACAGCCACATGTACAGTAGCCTATGCCGCTGGAATGAAAAATACAAGTAATTTTTTCTCTGCTTGAGGGAGTTTAAATTTAAAATCATGGCCAACTTACCATCCACAGAGTTTGTAAGTTCTGAGTAACACTTGTTCAATTTGGGTCAAACCAGACCAGAGTAAAATACAGGAGATGCCCCATGCTGCTTGATCAATGCTGACAAGACCCCATACTGAACCTCCCCTCCCACTTCTGTATACTGAAGTTCATGACAGGCAGAGAATTACCAAACAGGTGCAAGTTAGCACAGCGAAACTCTGTTTCTGATAGAAATGCAAGAGAATAGCAGAATGCAGACAAGCCAATCACAATTGACATTACCCATTGCCAACCAGTTTAAAGGTGGGTTTGAGAAATTATTTACATTGAATGGTTCATAATAATGTAATTTAAATCTACATGTGTAAGGGATCAGGGAAGTAATTTTTTAATAACTCTCCAACTGAGAAACTCTAAACTATTTTCTTTTTTCATCCTCTCTCACGTTATGTTAGAGCTATTTCCTGGTGTGTCTGCAAGTAACATCGAATTACTACACATGGCCTGTTTTGAAATGAAAACCGTCATCTGCTGTAGAAAACTAACACACTGACATAAGCTTTAGAGGCATATCAGACCTCTGCTCCACCACTTGAAAGGGACTCTTTCCAAGCTACAGATCCGATGTGGCTAAATATTCATCTTTTGTGGTGACAGGGTGCTGCTGAGCTGTGGTGCTGTGCTTTAAGCCAGGGTGAGGGCAGGCATTAAGAACAGAGTGCCTACTATCTGTTACAGATGCATCAGGCTGTGAAGGGCCACATGAAGAGAGTGTCAGCGACTCGAGTGAGGTCACAGGCTGATCTTTAACAACCCTTCACATCCTACCTTCACTTTCCTTTTTCATTATTCTCATCTCTCTCTGTCTCTATCTATTTATTGCTCTGTCCGCCTGCCTCTCTTTTTCTCTAATGATGCTCTTGCTCTATCATTCAGATCAGTCAATGCTTTAACCTTGATCTCTGTGATAAACCGGGGAGATCTCCTGCACTCTCTCTCTCTCTGTCATCCCCTCTGGTCTTCATCCATGCTTTCACTCTCCCTCCTCTTGCCCATTACTCCCTTTTCACCCTTTCATCAAACGTTGGATCCCTTACCTCATCTGCATTCTCTTAATCAGCTGCTGTCAACTCGCCCTTGTGATCCCATTTCATTTCATTTCACCCCTCCCTCACCCCCCTATCCCCCCCTGTCTCTGTGTCTTCTGTGCCTCTCTCATCTACTTCAGCTACCATCTGATCAGTCTGCCAGTATGAATCGTTGGCCCACCTGATCAAATCTTACCTTATGGCTAACAGAACTTCAGTACTCTAAATGAGGATACAGGCCTCACGCCTTGTCCCGCTCAATCACAGTTAGCAGCCACGCTAAGTCCTGCAGTCCCTTCCCATTTGTCAGCAGGGTGAGTGATAGGCGCCGCTAGCTAATCAGACACCAGAAAACGAGGTATAGGGGGAGCATCCATTTCCGCAGGCTGTTATCCCACAGGCCATACAACGGTTGTGACAGGTGATCTGCCTCAAACTGCAAATGTGGCCCCTAAAGATGGCATTAAGTCATTTCATTTGTTTAGCAGGCCATTAAAGCCAAATGTCTCTACTCTTTATGGTGTTTCATATGCACTGTTTGGGTGTATTGCTTTTCAAAATGTATCTTATTTGCTTATGTGTAATTATCCTTTGCTCCTTGTTCTTTCAACTGCCTATTTTTTCCTTATCATATCATCACTCTTTCTTATTCCTAATAACAGGCCACATAGGGTCACAAAATAGGACATGTTGCTGGAGAGAGAGAAAGAGAGAGAGACAGTGGGAGAAAGGGAGCGAGATGTTGGTGCCATTGGTGGCTTTGACAGACGGCCTTGGCCTACACAGCTGACATAGTGTATTTCACAATTTGGTCTGTTATGAGGAGGACCTGTGGTTCTCTCTTTCTTTTGATGCTCTCTGTGTTTATCTCTCTCTCTCCCTCTGTTCTGCCCTGTCAGAAAGAGCAGGGAAGTGACAATGCTATCAAAGGCTTGGTGCACTTCTATTGATTGTTCCTGTCTGTCCACCATCGTAAGCCATCAAAGGGTGTCACCTATCATTCGCTGCCTGATGCTGTCTTTTCCATCATCTGTTGCATCATAGCACTGTAGTCTGAAATGTCACAAGGGCTTTGTGGAAACTTTATATCAGATGATAGGCAGTTTTAAAATAAACCTCTTTGATGGAACCATTTTATCTTCTTCTTATTTATTATTAAGTCGCAGTGATTTATAGCAGCAAGTCATATCCGTACTTTCTTCTGGAGTATTGTAGCTTCTCTCTTCATGTTTAGTCTTGTAAGATTAAAGTGTCAGGATTTGCGCAGTGAGCTAAAGCAGGTGTTACTGGGTGCAAACACAAATCAGACACAGGAACGCTTTGACACAAAACACAAAGCTGACATCTTTTGATGTCTACTCCACAAATCAGAGGCGTACAATGTATTTACAGGACCAGCATGGAGGAGTCAGTGGCATCTAGCGGTGAAGTTGCAGATTGCAACCCTGTGAATACAGCTCAAACTTTCAAGTGTTGAGGAGAAACTGTGGTGGCTGCAAACTTGCACAAAATATTATGTTAATAGCCAGTGTTTGGGTTGTCCATTCTGGGCTACTGTAAAAACAAACAATCTACAAAACACAAATGCAAACATACCTATGAATTACATTTCTGCCAATAGATCCTTCTAAATGGTACACACTGGACCTTTAATGCAGAATGTCAAACATTTAGACCATTGCTCAAACATGCACACCTATGAAGACATAGTTTGTTTTTTTGTCTGCAGGGTATGGACACGGTGAGGGCATATATCCCAGATGCTGTGTGGTACGACTATGAGACGGTAAGACTATTCTGATCACTTCCTCTTCAGATGTGTCTCAAGAGAAATTCCCAACAGTGTGCTAATTATAATTAGGAGAATTTGACATGGTACAATTGTTGTTATACATATAAATTAATTCATATACTTACAGCAGGACATTACAGCCACTTCACCTCCTACGGTTATTATATTCTCCATGGTTTCCCCCACCCAAAATACATCCATGACAGGGACAGACTATTAAAAACACCTTCCAATATAATGTTGATTCAAAACCACAATGTATAAAAAACTAAATACCATAGAATAGAATAGAATACACATGATCTGATTCAGTCCTAAAAACTGAACATCACAAGCTTTATGAATATGATAAAGAGGAAAATGGGATGATTAATTTGCATTTTGTTTTAGAATACATTAGATTGTAAAGATTTACCTAATTAATTGGTAAACTTAGTGCTCAACAACAATGACTGTGAGGGGGTGTTACATTAGTGGTAGTAACAAGTACACAAAGAACATGTATCACATGAAAGTCTTTGCCTCGAGTTCTTTGTTTGACACTGAGACGAGAGCGATAAGACAGAGCGAAAGTGGGGACAAAGATAGAGTGAAAGAGGGGACAGGGAAGAGAGGAGAGACTATCTCCCTGACAGAGAGATAAAAGAGGTGTTGAGCTCCTTTGGGACCTTATTTGGGTGTCACAGTGGCGATGTAAAGCGGCCACTGATCAGATGAACGATTAGATTGGCTGTCTTGCCGCCGGCCCCTTGTCGTGGTTGGTCCCCTGTGATTATCTGGGTAGGAGAAAGGAAGGGTATTGATGTAGTGAAAATGACCAAGAAAAACAAGTTAGAGCTGGAAAGGAATAAAGAAAAAACAGAGGGAAGAACAAATATACTGAATGGAAGCTGAACAAAGACAATGTAGCGAAAAGAAGGACAATACATGCCGTGTAGAAAGGGGGGAAAGCAGGAACAAAATAGAAGATGAGAAGAAGAAAACGGGGGCGACAATTACAGTACGTGGAGAAGTGGGAAGATGGGAGGATTGGCCAGCACGAATAAGGAGAAGACGAGAAGACAAGGCTAGAGAAGACCTCCTTAAGGCAGACAATGAGGGGGTGATAAGATCTGAAATTGCTTGTAGACGCTCCACTAACTCCAGCCCACACACTCACCCATAGTCTACTGTACTGTATAAAATGGTACATGCACATACACACACACACAGACCTCCATGGGAATGGTAAAATGGGATAAAAAAAAGAATTAGAGCACCACAAGAGAGAATAACAGGATGTGGAGAAGGAAGTAGGTAGAAGGGGAATGAGAGCAGATGGAGGGAAGAGAGTTTTAAATTGTTTTAGGCTGGTCTGAGGATTAAGTCCTCAAGAGATCAGAAATTAACTGTGCTCTATCTGTGTCCTCAGAGAAATGATAGAGGGGCAGAGAGAGAGAGAGACACACACAGAACCGGAGAGAGGAATTTGTCTTCTCATTTTATAGAAAAGTGCTTCCTAGCAGAACAGCACAGTCTCACATTTTATCATCATAATGCTAAAAATAACACATTTGACATTTTCCTCAAGCAACTCGATCACTGCATTTTCAAAACTTTTTTTGTAAGGATTTAATTTTTTTCCAAAAACTAAATCACCTTCAAGGCCAGAATTAGGCTTGAGTTTGTTAGATAACTATTAGCTAAAAGGACATGCAGTATTTATTATGCTAAATAACTGGAAATAAAAAAAGGAAAAAAAAATCTTCTACCTCCAGTGGTAATGTCATTCAGTAAGGGTTTGGCTTACTTGGGTTTCTAGATATTCTTCTCTAAGATTCCTGCTGCAACCCAGATACAACAGAGGCAACTGGCATTTTATTTATGGATATCACAGGTTAACAAATTACAGTAGAAAAACCCATGACTCTGCATAATCTACAAACCTCACAGTGAACAGATATCATGGGGACTATTTTTTCAGTAGAAAGTAGTTCCATGTGTGCACAGTGAGGTCTGTGGAGTTCCCAGAGTAAAAGAAAGAAACAATATTTGTGCACAAAAACCTTTATACAACAAATTATGTAAGAGTGGAATGTATAGCTGAGCAAAAAGTCATCATCACTGTTTTTTTTATGTGTTTAGGTTTACTATGATGCTGTAACTCAAGAGTCAGTATCCTGTGTTCTCTGTTTTTGATTGCAAAGCAGCTTTGGACACAATAAATACCCCAGCAGGGTTGCATGACCAGATCAATCACTGATTCATTGATCAACAATGGCAAACACATTTGTCCCTGCATTTCTGCTTCAGTGTTCAGAAGAATTCAATCTGCATTGTAGAGACATCAGTTTCATGCAAAGCCCAAAGCCAGTTTTTCCCAGCCCAAGCTAAATTATGGCAACTGTCCTAATCTTGGAAAGGGGAGCATGGGGATTGCCTTGCCCACAGAGCATCACATTTACATTAACTTGAGTTAAGACATGTTTTTGTCCTACCAATCAGATGGAAAAACTGGCACACCGCAGAAACCATGTTGATATGTATCTACCAGCTGACAAGCTTGGTTTACACATTAGAGGTGGTGCGATCCTCCCCACGCAGAGACCGGATGTCACCACTACATACAGGTACACACACACACAAACACACACACACACCACACACCACACACACACACACACAGGCGCACACACACATTGGACCACCTCAAATAATGTTGAAACTTTCCAAAAGTGTAGTATATACGACAGATGTATCAAATTGTGCTATCTGTTTTGATTAATGTGCACTGCACAGATATAATTAGTTATGGTTTGATTGACACTGAATTGTAACTACATGTGAGTATGGTGTTTGTACTTTAGCGCTTGTTTATCTGAATGTCTTTAGTCGGCGTAACCCCATGGGTTTGATCGTTGCTCTTGATGACAACAACCAGGCAGCTGGAGAGCTATTCTGGGATGATGGGGATTCAAGAGGTATTGTAAGACAGGATCATTGGCTTCTTGTTTTTACCATTACATCATTACAGTATTTTTTTTTTATAAAAACAAATTGAAATTCCTATCTCATTTAGTACAAAGCATCACATGAGTCAGTATTTCCATCTACCTGCTTTTACACGCTTTTTCCAATTTAAGCATAAAAACCCTAAGGAACTGGCAAACTTTTGTAAAAGATACTGTAAAAAAGGGTTAGTAAAAGTAAGTACTAAAAAGTAGTAAAAGTTGGTGTATCTTTAAAATAGACTTACTGAATAAATTATGATGTAAATGTGACGTAAACATCTGCTGAAGTGATGAAAAGTAATGACAGGCGAAAACATCAGATTTGTGCGGAGTGATGAGTGTTCTGTAATGTTCCTCAAAATAATAAATGAAACCAAGGTAAATGTCATTTTTCCATCATGTTTCCAATTCCATTAGAGGTTTGATTGGCATTCATTTAATCATCTTGTTGCACCCTCTTCTTCTGCAGTGGTTTAATGGATCCAAACTAGAGAGAATTAGTGCCACCAGCTGAGGAACGGATTCTTAATATTCACTTTAGATGCTCGTGGATGGAAACATGCATCAATTTGCATTTTCTTTTGGTAGTTTTCTCTAATTCTGGTAAAGGTTTGCACTATATCTGGATGGAAATCTAGCTAGTGTGACTGTGCAAACACTATCAGTCAGCTCATACACATTAACAAGTGAAAGTCGGTTACTCTGTGTGACTCTAAATCAGTGGTGTGACATCTACTCCTTTTTCTTTTTACAGAAACAGTTAAAACAGGCAACCACATCCACTACAAGTTCTCCGTTCTCTATGTAAGTTTCCCTCACATACATCCACACCATCTTTTAAATCCACATATTCTCTCTGATCTGAACTCCAGTTCAAAGTTCAAAGCCACCAGAGACTTTAGACTTTCCCAGTCCAGAACACCAAGGATGATTGATCCATGTTACACTGCTAAAGCTTTGTTGGATCAAGTACCCCATGTTTCTCACAGCACTGAGGATTCCCTTGCATGTTTAATGTATAACAGTGGAGTTTTTCCTATATGTTAACAATACACTGGGGTGGGGGGTTTACAGACAGGAAATCTATGGGAACAGCTGTTTGACCGATGGATATGAGTTTTGGGAGTTTATAAACTGGTTGCTTTACCAGTATGCATAATAACAGCAGGTGATGTATGTTGTGATTGTTGTACATTTGAAAATATGGTCTATCAATTAAAAAAAATAAAATAGCAATAATAAAAAGCACCTTTTGTTTAGGTGCACATAATAACTTTAATGGGTTCAAATCAGACATATAATTGTGTGTCTTCTGCCTTATAGGGAGTGCTGACAATGCAGGTGACCCACGCTGGCTACAGGGACCCTAACAACCTGAAGTTTGACAACATTATTGTCCTCGGTGTGCCTCATCCTCCCATGTCCGTCTCTGTGACTCATGTTAACACCGGAACACCTGGAAACTCTACCACACCACTGCCGAACTCCAACATACAGTACAATGAAGCCAAGAAGGTACACACACACATGTTCAGGGACATCGTCATGCACACGTGCAAACTAAAAACAGCTACTTTTTGTTTTCTTTTTACAAAAAACACTGAAGAACAATTCAAAATGTCTTTTAAGTGCTTAGCCTTTCCAGGATGTGTGTAGGCATATGGCCACGCAAATCATTATTTTTATATAAAAGTGTAACTACCCCACCCTTTAGTTCTGCTAGCTCCCTCCCTCTCAGCAAATTTAAAAAGTGCATCAGAGATCTGCAAAGGACAGCGACTTTAGGGGGCGTGGCCTCGACACCAACTGGAGTGATTGACAGACTGGCCACAGTACCGTAGCATAAACAACGAGCTGTTAGTCAGAGCTAATGAGCAGCTGCTGTCAGACTCTCCGTGTCTACGCTGCAAACACAAAGAGTCCGCTGGAGCTTTTAGAGTCACTCGAAGCACTTTGAAGGTCGTTTCTGTGTGGTACCTGTGTTGTAACTAAGCTAAAGGCTCAGAGAGGCTAACCCTCCAGTATGTGTGCGTGTGTGTCTGTAGAGGGACTGTCAATGCGTGGGATCAAGGTAGCCATTGAAGTACGGTGGTGTTTCTATAGCTGTCTAAAGCACAAATCTGTACCACTGCGTCAGAATAGAAAAATACTTACTTATACTTAAACTTATAATTTGTATATAGAGATGAACACAGATTGTCACTTGATTTTGCTCATTCACACAAAGGATTTCATAGCACATTGTTTTGATTTCACAGCCCATTATTTTGCTGTTTTGGTTTAGTTTCACCTCTCTTACAACTTTGTTTCCAGCAGTAAAAAAGTCCTGACAAACCTACTGTACACTGTCTGCCAAGCACCAGACACCAGACAGACAAAGTTAGTGACTAGCTAGTGAGTATGGCCAAGAATTTGGCAGTTATAGGGACTTAGATATTTTCCTCAGGAGTTGATGGAGACCAGATAAACTTTATAATGTGATAATATGTCTGTGTTAACAGAATGTCCCGCTGCTTCCAAGTGGCCAAACAATATTGGCTTTCGCCTCAAGCAAAGCACAGCAACCGCATTACTAAGAGCGTCGCTATCATTCTTATGCACACACACAAAAAAGTAAATATTCTATCCTTATTCTGCTCAATTTAACTCGATTTGTTGCCTTTGACACCAATTATCACGCCATTTTACTCAATAGGTTGCTAACTGGGTTGGCATTTCTGTATTAGCTTTAAACTGGTTTAATTTCTATCTGAGAAATATTTGTGTCAATAATTATGTTGTTCTTTGTCCAGATCTCTTCTCATTTTACATACTTCCTCTGGGTCATTTGTTTGGCCACTTTCAAGACGTGTTATATCACTGTTGTGCCAAATGATACACAGATCTATTTTTGTGCAAAACCCAATAACCTGAATCAATTTCCCTTCCTCCATGACTGCTTAGCCACCAACCATGATTGGTTGTCTTAATTTACTCCATCTAAATCCTGACAAAACAGAGATTATTTTAATTGGACCTGATCATTTTGTCACTGTAGTTTCAGTTTATTGGATCATTTTGCTATATTTTGCTATATTAAATTTACCATTTTGAATATTGGCATCTTCTTCAACCAGTATTTGACTTTTGATTATCATGTTAAGCTTGTCCAGTCCTGTTTTCTTCAGCAAGGGATATTGCAAAAGTTAGATGTTTCTTGTCTTCCACAGATTCCTCACACTATATTATTTCACACTTTCATTTTCTCCCATATAGATTATTGTTATTCCCTCTACATGTGTTTCAGTCAAGCTGCTTTAAATCAGTTACAGTTGGTCCAAATTGCAACTAGAACTAACTGTCGGTCCCACTTACCCTTGTTCTTGCATCCCTTGATTGGCTTGCTGTTTTAGCCACAACCATCTGCAATCATTGTACCCAATTGCTTAAATTTTCTGAATCTTTGGACTGTTTTAAGCAGCTCCTTAAAACCCATCTTTAAAAGCAAGCCTTTATATAGATCTCCTTCACACACACATAGTTTTGTATGTTTTTTTGTTTTGTCTGCATCTAGTTTTGCTTTGTTTCATTGGGTGTGTGCACTTTGTAATTGTGTTTTAAAAGTGCTATAAGTACAGGTTTTCTTACTTACTTGCTACAGCTTAATTGCTACACTTTATTTATTAGATTTATTATTTTTTTAGTAAATCACATTTGGAAATGGCAAATAGCCAGTATAACCGAACTCTATAGTCGTAGCATATGAAAAACTCCCAGACATATTTTCAGCTATTTCCACTTTGTCAGTAGAACCTTGCTGTCCTGATGCAGGACAGATGCAGGCTGGATGAGTTCTACAGTGGTGACTCTTAGGCATCTGCCATTTGTTTCATTAGGAGTGAAACCATTACTGTACATTTCAAGGTTAGCCTCTAAGTGTAAGAAATGATAACAATTTACATTAGGTGAGGATTGTGAAAGGTTTGTTTGAGTGTGTGTGTGCGTGTGTGAGAAAGATGATCCTACAGCAAGTGCCCAGGGTTATGAGCAAAAGGCAAGAGTCTGTAAAGTGTCAAGAGGTTCAGTTAGATAATACTATAAAGATTTGCTTTGTGCGCTTGTGTATATTTGTCTGCACGTGTGTTCATGTGTGCGTGTGGTCATCACTATGCTTGTGTAGATCCTCAAGGTCTCTCTGGTCACACATGCAAGCATGCATTTATCAAATGACTCTCAGCGGTAATCATTTCCTGCGGGTGAAGGGTAAATGTGCTGTTAAACCTAAACTCCAGCTTGTCATGTCCATCAGTCTTCGTATGCCTAGTTGGACTGGGCCTTGAATATAGCTCACAGCCACCAAACATCATTAGTTCCATATACACTTAAATAGAGCAGTGCAATATGTGAGCCACACTGGGTTTATATAACAATTTCCTGCATACTATATAGCTTTATTGCCTTCTATATTGTTCACAGTGCATGTCTAAAATGATTCCTTTAACAGTCCCTGTGCGGTCTTTTTCTTTTTTTCTTTCTTTCTCTCCCTTCAATTAATTTCTTTATTTATCCATCTTCCAAATCGTGCCTTGTCTCCTTTCTCTTTTCTTCTCTTTAAATATGCTTTCTTGTGTGTGTCCTGCAAGATGCATTTTACACAGAAGAATTGCTGAAGCATGATTCCAAAATAAAATAACACGAGCTACAAAGACTGAGGAAGATCCCGGAAGTCTACTCAGCAGCTGAGGATGTATCATATGGTGACTGTAGAGAAAGGGGCTCCCTAAGATTTGCTGTGAGAATGACTCATAATTCCCAGCAGAGGCTGTTGAAACAGCGAGGGAAATTAACAGCTGTGTCTTAATTGATAGCACACGCATTGTCAAGCACACATTCTGTCTCAAGGAAGCATGTCTGGGCCTACTTGCATAAGAAGACTCAGAGACAACTTGGGAAGAATGGTCTCAAACTGGCATACTTGGATTAAATAATCTCTGCTTTCTCCCACCTTTCTCCTCCCCTTTATTTTATCACACACACACAGGTTCTGTCCCTACAAGGCCTCTCCCTGACCCTTGGGGAGACCTATTTGGTGCAGTGGGAACTTGTGGCGGAGGAGTATCAGCGCTTCGACTGCTATCCAGAGGAGAATGCAGATGAGGCTAAGTGCAAGGCCAGAGGCTGTACCTGGAAGGTGAGGGGTGACACAGATGAGGTTATTATTACAAACCAAAAAAACACTAACTTTTCAGACATCTGTACAATGTTGATACATTTTCTTTTCTGTCCTCATTCAGCCAAGCACACTTGAACGTGTTCCATGGTGCTTCTATCCAAAAGACTACGGATACTCTGTGACCAGAACCGACCAGACTAACTCAGGCATGACAGTTGATATCACTCGGAACAAGAAACACAGGAGCAATGGTCGCCCAGAGTCACCAGACATCGACACACTCCGTGTTGAGATCCGTTACCACAGCAGTGACATGCTGCAGTTCAAGGTGTGTGTTTTTTTATGCTAGTGGTGAATCCTCTTTTGAATCGTGTTTGTGCCTTCTCAGTGTCATTGTCTAACTGTTTTTCTTTATTTCAACGGATCCATCCACACACACACACACAC